GATAATGTCTTTACTTTTCAGAAAATCAAAACAAAATCGTTTTCCTATGTTTCAGGACTTCTAAATCCATGAGGCCAGCGAGGTGCTATTTTTTGATGACCAGCCACACACGGAGCTACCACCAACTTATTTTTTATTATTTTGTAAAAGAAATTTTTTTTAAATAGACTGTAGCTAAATAACATAATAAAAAAACAAGGAGTCTCTGCATTGTCTCTATTACTTAAAAAAATTCAAGAAAAACGTTAATATTTTACCTTCTCAGGGTGGGGTCCCCCCTTAAATACTCTGAAAATAAAATAAAATGAGTGCAAAAAATATCTTTTGAAGAATAATTTTCGTACTATACAGGGTATCTGCTACATTTTCACATTTGTGACTTTCCATAACTAACTCCAAGAATTTTTCATGACCTAACGATGTTACTATTTTCCCTGTACAACAATACATTCAAAAAAGCATTATAATAACAGTCATTGAAATGATAGGTATAAACAAAACTGTTATACTATGCATCTTCATATTTAAAGATTTTAAATTTAAAAAACAGAGTTGAAGCAGGAAAATAGCTGGAAAAAAATACAATAGAAAATACATTTATTTTTTTCTGCAGAATTATATTCCATCAATACTTTTCTTGTTCAATCGGAAAGGAAAGAAGAAATACTCCTGATTTTTTTGTTCTTATTTCAGAATAAAAAAAATTCGCCAATGACAGGCTTACTTCAACTAGAATTTTAAATTGATAAAATAAAATAAAAAAGTAATAATAACAAAAATTCTGAAATCACAGAAATTTAAAAGATACTTCTCTCTAGAAATGATGTTTTTTTCTTTTCATTTTTTGAAAAACACCCTAATTTTTAAAGAACATGATAAAAAAAGTTTTTTATTTTTTAAATAAAATATTACTGTGAGTGGGGATTTTGTTACAAATTCAAATATTCGGAACACCATGAAATTGGGGGAGGGGGTTAAATTCTATTTTAAAAATTTAGATTTTTCGGCGACCTAAATCCATGACATTTCAGGATTATTTTTTTTTTTAAATAGTTAAAACCATGACACTTCATGACAAATTTTGTTCAATACCGAAATTCATGGCTTTCCATGCTTTCTTATGACTTTGCAGAGAGGGTAAACTAACCAGTGAAGGAACACTTAAGCTTCGCTTGCCTTTTAAAAAATCATATTAATTTCGAAATTCGTAATTTTAGTTAGATGACAGTGTCAACATATTTGTTACTAATTGCAAATTATGTGAAAAAAATTGTAGAGAACTTACATAATATTGTCTTAAAGTTTTAAAGGTTCAAATAACAAGTAGTAAGAAGACCAAGTGAAGGAACAGCTCTAACCAGTGAAAGAACACCCAGCAAAGGAACACTTCATTTTGGTTATTTTTTAATGCTGTTTATGAATTTATAAGCCATACAAATATTTAAAAACAAGCCTATTCTTGAAATTATATTATATGAAAATTCTTGGAAAATGTTAACTTTATTTTGTAATCATGAATTGAAAAGTAAAGTGTCAACATATTAAAACATACTGTTCATTCACTGGGAAAGCTATGCCCAGTAAAGGAACATGCCTGTTCCCTCACTGGTTAGAAGTTGTTTTTCGTATTTTTAACATACTTTCGATGCGGTAATGCAGGAGTNAAAAAAACCCAGTAAAGGAACACTTGTTCCTTCACTGGTTTTTCATCGTTTGGTGATCCAGTGAATAAACACCCCTTATCTCAGTACTTTATTATGCTATGATGCTTTAAAAAAAAGTAAAACTTAACTTCAATATCTATATTTTGAATTCTCTTTGATTATCTATATTTTGAAAATAAAACTATGACATGCAATTAATTCCACTTCAAACATATAAATACAAACACTCACCATATAATTTTTTCAAAGAAACAAGGTGTTGCAGAGATAGTAACAAATTCATTAAATTTTTCCAGAGAAGTCTATTTGACCAGGTAATCCAAAACATTGCTAGATGATTTCCTATTGTTTGGCAGTAAGCTATTGTTACCAATCAATCTAAAGAAATACTTTCAAATTCCTTTTTTTAATCAATATACGTGAAATGTTCCTTTACTGGTTGGTTTACCCTACCCTCATTATACAAAACCCGGAAGAATCTTTTTAAATCAAAATAGAAAAGAAAAATGTAAAATAAATGAGTTTTGTAAAAGAAAGAAAGAAATCAAAAAAAGTACAGTTTTATTAAAATGATCTTTGGTGAAAGATGATATAATACAATGATTAACAGTTTTTTTTTTCCTTCACATTTTTTTTTTGGAATGAATTTCAGATATATATAAAAACACTTCATCATTCAAAAGGAATGTTTATAATAAACGTTGAAACATATTCTTTGATAGTATCTCAAAATTGCATTGATTTGTAATCATTTCATATAAAAGAACAGATTATTAACAATACGAATAATAAGTAACATTTTTATTTTCTTCTAACTGTGCCAATTCCGATAGTTTCATGAGAATAAAAACTAAGCAAAAACTTTGAACTATGTATTAAAAGTTTTAAAATTATTTTCAAAGCAAGATTTCTATCAAACAGTCAATAGGAGATTTAAAAATTATAATATTAAATAATTATAAATATTAAAGTTTATATTCTATTAAAATTCATATGAAATCATGGTCACTTGAGTTAAAAAAATTAAATTCAAAATTTTAAAAACTTTCAAATGAATGTCTGTTCTAAAAAAAGGACGATAATTTTTTAGAATTTTAATAGAATTAGAATTTCAGAATATTAAATAATTATAAATATTAAAATTTATATTCTATTAAAATTCATATGAAATCATAGTCACTTAAGTTAAAAAAATTATAAAAACTTTTAAATGAATGTTCATTCTAAAAAAATGGCGATATTTTTTTGAATTTTTAAATATAGTTCATGAAAATAAATAAGTACCCTAACTGAATTTTATAGTGAGAGAATAAATTGAATTTAATAAATGCGTGAATGAAACATATTCGAAAGCATTTTAATTCAAATAATCATTTTTTAAATTAAATTTCTAATAGGCTTTAAAAAATCAGATTCAGATCTAAATTTGTAAGAAATCTTCTATTAGGAAATGAAATGATCACAAAATGTTATATGAATTTCAACTTTTGGCACATTAAAAGTATTTATTTATTTAAAAACAAACTTATACAGAATCAAAATACATGAAGAAATTCTTGATTGGTAAGCCATTTCAATAACTATAAAAGTAGATTTAAAGAATAAATTGGAAGAATATAATTGAAAGAATATAATTATTAAAAAAAAACAATAATTGTAATATCATTGTTTATAAAATTTTATTCATCAACGAAATACATTTTTTTATCATCTAAATTTAAGTTAAGATAAAATTTTATGACCAAAATAAAAATTCAACTAAAAATAAAAACGTTCCAATATTTGATTTAATTTTATTTATTTATAATTTTAATGTCTATAAAAGTTCAAATATTTGTCATCAGAATAAAAAAAATTAATAAGGTTAAAATGAACATTTATGACTAAAAAATTTTTTTTAAACTCAAAATAGGAAATTTTCAATTTTTTTTATGTAACAGTTTAGTTTTAAAAAAACTTATTATTTAAAATACTTATCATCAAAACGAAAAAATTAAAATAAACTCATAACACAAATGAAAGGTTTGATTCAAATGAAGAGTATTTTTTACTTTAGAAACATTTATAATTTAGAAACATTTAAACCACAAAAATCTCAAATAATTATTGTCAAAAAATAATAAATAAATAAAAATAAACAAGATTACTTAAACAATTATTATTTAAATATAGATTCAAATTCAAAATTGAACATTCATATTTTTCTAGTAATATTTTTAATAAGCAAAGCATTTGTAATTTCAACATTTAAAAAAATTTAACTATTTATAAATTTAAATTTAAAAAAAAAGATTAATTTAAACATTTATAATAAAAATTAAAATTCAATTCTAAATAAAGACGTTAATTTAGTAATAGTTAGTACACAAATGTTAAAAAAAATTATACCAAATTTCCAAAAAAAACGAACGATAAAATAGTTATTGTTGCAATTTTAAAACAATGATAATCAGAATCAGTGAGCAAATATTTTTTAAAATGCGATTATATTCTTCCAGTATAATTTTTTTTTTAGAATCGTTTCATATTAAAAAAAATAATAAAAAAGAACATATTTTTACTCATTTAAAAATTATAGCAAAAAGGTAGTTTTATCACATAAAGTAAAATATTCGATTTTTAGAAATATATTTATTTTATATCAATTATTAAAAAATAATTCTTCTTTAGAAAACTACATTTGTTATAAAGTAATTACTTTGATATATGTCTATTAAAGAAAAATAATTTTTCTTTAGAAAACTACGTTAGTTGTAAAGTAATTATTCTAAAAGTATTTGTTCTTTAGAAAACTATGTTCATTATAAAGTAATTACTTTAAAAATATTTGTTGTTTTGAAAACTATGTTTGTTATAAAGTAATTACTTTAAAAATAATTCTTCTCTAGAAAACTGTGTTTATTATAAAGTAATTACTTTAAAAATAATTCTTCTCTAGAAAACTATGTTTATTATAAAGTAATTACTTTAAAAATATTTGTTGTTTTGAAAACTATGTTTATTATAAAGTAATTACTTTAAATCTATTCATTAAGTCTATCAGGGTGCGTAGCCAGATTTTTCAACAAAAAATAAGCACCTTTTAAGCACTCAAAAAATATTTTTAATCATTTTCCAAAAGGAAATCATAATTTGGATCTGTGCAGTAATAAAAATTATTTTTTTCTATCATTTAAAGTTCTTATTTATAAACATAAAATCAAAAAAAAAAAAAAATTCAAAAACTTCTCCTAATCATGATAAAATAACTAATTTCTGATAAATATTGCAGAAAAAATTGTGAAAAATCATACCATTATTTGTAATTTAGAACTACAATCGATACGGTGAAGAAAAAAAATCTATTTTTAAAAAATAGAAAATTAAGCACTTTTTACAAACTCCGAATAAAAAAAAAAGCACCTTTAAGGGCTTTTAAAAACGTAAATCAAAAATAAGCACCTATAATCACTTTTCAAAAACACTACGCACCCTGGTCTATTCATTGCACACAGATAATTCACTAAAATATGTTATGCAAAAATAATAGTGTTACCTTTAAAAATATAATTTAATAAGTTTAAATTTTTTTTTTTGATAGAAATATTTTTACAACATCAAGTTATTTTTGTAAATAATTATTTTGTTTCTACCATTTTTACCTCAGCTGTTGTTCTACATTTGGAATGAAAGTTGGATCACATTTTATAAGAGGCCAGACTGTCCTCTTTAAACGAGAGCTTCTCCTCCGAATAACCTGACTCGTCAGAGACATTGTCTTCCTCGTCAACAGTCTCCCCGATCATTTTTAAAAACTGAGTCCTCCGATGTCTCGGATTGGGCATATCATCCACACAACAGTTCGAATCGAAAAAGTCCGATTCCTGACTGTTCGATAGATAATGATCCGAAAGAGAATCCACATCGTCTGGCACTATGTCAGAATTCGATTCGATCTCGGAAGTGAGGGAACCGCTCAGGAACAACTCATCATCGAAATCGTCGTCGTACGGAATGATGTCTTCTTCTTCTTCCTCTTCGATTTCGTCGATGGCAGTCAGTTTGGGGGCACTCTTCGAACGTTCCAACGGAGGTCTGAAGTTGGTGGAGCCTGTGCTCAGGAGCAACTTCCGGCGGGGAAGTGTGGGATTGTCGTAGCAGGAGTTAGCGAGGGACAGCCTCGCTTTCTGCCGGCTGAATTTCTCCCGCCGGAACTCCTGTAGGGCCTGCGTCAGCCTCTCATTCAACTGTGCGGCCATTAACTTGGCCCGGTCGTCTTTATCACATAGAACAGCGTGGCACCTGAGCTCCTGTTTCATGCGGCGGCCCTCGTGCCTGTACACCCAGCAGAAGACTTTAGGGTAGTGAGGAGGGGCCGCGCAGTAGGTTATTCTATTTGACCAGTATTCAGTCAATCCGTGTTCTTTCGTGGTAGCTTTGAGTCCGGAATTGCTAACCGTAATCTTCATGGTAATGTCGTGTTTGACGTTGGCACAATAGTTTTTCCAGAGGGTGGCCAGTGGTTTGTCCGTGCAGCCGTCCCCTTTGGCCCACTGAGTAATCACGTTCCCCAAATAAGTCACTTTATAGATGGGGTCGTATTCGGTGATAGTCACAGATTTCTTATTCCAAAGTTTGCACCACTTGTTCTTCATGTTGCTCGTAGTGAAGGGATTCGTCATGGATATAATTTCCATTGCTTTTCAATGAAAAAAGGTTCGTTCTTAAACTCTCTATCAGCTCAACAACATTTTCTGTTGTATCCCCGAAACCGATTTTCACACAATTTTCAGAATACGAAAATTCAATTAAGCACAAGAAATGAAACAAATCTTCGTTTGGTCAAACTTTAAAAAAAAACACATGCCATCCAACAACTTCAAAGTTGAAAAAAAAAATCGTTTTCTTTTTTCAAACTTCAAAAAGAACACACAAAGCGAAGAAGGAGAAGTCAGAACAACTTTTTCACGAAGCACGAGCGAATATTCTTTCGGATGAAAAGATAAAGCGTCCAGGTGCGGAAAAAAATAATTCGAATTATTCCACTCTAGAGATATCACCTAGAGATGTATCTTTGTAGGATGAGATGATGATACATCGGGGTTTTTGTATCCCAACAGAACGGTGATAAGAAATAAGCGCAGTCGCAGGAGAGAAATGTTATCACACAGAGGCAGTGATTGCACGCAGCCGAAACGTTTGAAAACAGGAAAACAAATGAGAATATAACCTGTTGTTGTGTCCTGCATGGCGGGGAACGCCTCGCACTGTTCTTTTTCTACCTGTACTTTTTCTCTCTCTCTCTGAAGGCAGGGTTGCCGTTCTCTGTTTTGTTTCCTTTTTTTTTCTTCTCTTCAAATACCTTGGCGAGCATGACTGGTTTTTTTTTCTTCCCCCGATCGTTTGGCGATCATGTTATTGCTCTATACGTGAAGAAAAAAAAAACACCCGCTCGAAAATAGATCTTGGTCTGAGACCGATGATAACTAAAAAAGAGAAGTCTACGAAAAGTAATACAGTCAAACCTCGTTATAGTGAACTCCCGGATAGAGTGAGCGAAAAGTTCGTTCCCGTGCCTTGCGTAATAATATTTTTTATATTACACACATAACAATATTTTTTGTGGATAGCAGTACCGTCTTTATGCATGGGCACACCCGAGCAGTGCCCGAGGGCCCCAGACCCTTGAGAATCTTACTTTTTACAAATTTCATTAAAAAAACTAAGACTAAAAAAAATTATCTTATATATTTTTTGAAATAAACATATTACATTGTATAAAGTGTGTATTTTGTTTTTCTTTCCACAAATAGCGATTGATTATCGTGCAAAGAACAATGGTTTGAATAGTTTATCACCAGGAAAACTTAAAAAGGCAACCGAAATCTATTTTTCTACCTTCCAATGAAATTTTTATGTGAATTCAGTTTTTTTGGGTCTTCTAAAAACAAATTTAAATTAAAATGTATTTAAATTTGTTCAAATTATTGCATATGTTAAAAATGCTATATTTTTATGTATGTGAAGTTTTTTAGTTGTATTTCATGCCTCCCACGTTTTTCGTTTTTCAAATTTTTGTTTTTTTAATTATTATTCTCCACTACCAAAACGTGGTTTTTAGAAATGTTATTTTTATTTTGATTTCTTTTATTAAAATGGAAAGTGACAATCGTGTTCAAAGTTAAGGATTTTATTCAAAGTGAAATCATTTTCACTAAAATAAAGTTTTTTGGTGTTGCATAGCAATTTCAAAAGATTACACCTTATCAAGCGGCAGTTTATGGTAAACACCGAGTTACTGTTTTACATCATTTATCAGGGAATAAGCTAATTTTATTTTTCGACAAGTAATGTTTGTTTACATAATACAGTCGGACCTCTAATTAACGAAGTCGCTAAATCCCGATAACAAGTTCGCTATATAGAAAATTCATTTAATATAAAATCACCTTTTGAAACGACACAAAACAGGTTTTAAATTCATAAACGGTAGACATCATTAAAATAGCAATTAATACACCCTTATCTTGCAAAGTAGTATCTACTATTTATTTTATAAATCTTAAAAATATAAGAAATGTGCATGCAAAGCAAGAATAGAGCAAAACTTTATCCAGTGTTACGCTATCATGCTACATACATTTTAAACTCAAAGAAGCTAAATTTATAAGTAAAATTATCGATGCATTAATTATTAAAGTAATATTAAACACGCATTACCACATGCATTCTTAAGTTTAATGGCTACTGATAGAATCCGTTTATTTTGTTTGCGTTTTTCGTTTGAAATGCAAAAAAAAAAAAAAAAAAAAAAAANAAAAAAATGGATAAGGATTCTACTGTTTTCTCTAAAAGTTAAGTGGCTTCACAAATCAATTCAAGGGCGTTTCCCCCATAAAATGCGCTAACAAGTTTAAAATATTCGGGAAATTTTACGGAAATACGGAAAGTGGATCTTTAAAAAAAAAAATTCGTTAAATAGAAAATTCACTTCGCTATTTGGAACTTATTTTACGAAGAAATTTCCAAAAAGTTCTTGGTTTCTGGAAAAAATTCGCAAAATAGAAAAATTCATAAAAAGGAAGTTCGTTAAATAGAAGTTCGACTGTATTATGTATATTTAATTTTACAGCCCACTCAATTTTGGGTTTACGACTACAAATTTTCTACTCCATAGCCTAGTATTTTTGAACCTAATCCAGAAGACTAATCCTGGATCAAGTATGGGGAGAAATTTGCCCTGGTGGAGGACTTTTTGATGGAACTAACCAGCTTTTGCGTTACATAGATAGGAAAACCACGAACACCTGCCACGGCTAACCTGACGGAACTCTAACCCATGATCCGTCTACCACTGAGGATATCTTAAATCAGCACTGCGCGAGCTGGCTGAGGAATTCGTATCAACCAGCCATCGCTGGGATTCAAACCCTGTTCATCTCATTGGACGCTCTATCCCCTGAGCCACCACGACTTCAATATTATATATAACTGTGAACGTTAAACTTATACAGATAAGTAAAGTAATAATTGCAAAACAATAAATCAAACTGAAAAGAAAAATACCAAATATTTTTCGGCACTACTTCTAAGCAATGTCTTTGGCGAAAAAAAATAATAACTGTTTTATAATAACCGAAAATTAAATAAGAATTAAAAAAAAACATAAACAAAATTGTCGCTACTAGGCCGGGATATCCTGGTCAGTGGGGTGCCGGGCCCATGTCCAAGAGATCGTGGGTTCGGTCCCCGCCGGTCGAAGACTCCCAGTGTAGTAAATGGTGACTGATGCACGTTAAATCTGTCAAGTCTCAACGTCCTCCATGCTCCCATAGCAAAGGAATACCTCTGGGGGTACCGATCCAGGAGTTTCCTTGTTTTTTGGATTGGTTCAAAATTATAAGGCTACGGCGTTGAACATTATTAGTCGTAAACCCAAAAATTGGGTCGACTGTTCAACGGCGGTCATAAAATAAAATAAAAACATGTTTGTTAAGAGAAATTAACATTCATACATATTTGGATCTTTCAATTAAATAATTTTTAATTTTGATCTGTTTTAAACCAAGGAAAGAAAAAATTATATATAAAAAAAAAAGAAAAACGAAAACCAACGAAATATGACATTGGTAAAAATGTAATGCTACCTGTATAATTCTTGTTCTGTGTTTTTGTCGATTTCACTTAAATACTAATTAATCAGCAATACACAAGTTTGATTAGCAAAAAATACATTCTTTTTTTCATAATATTCGTGCATAATATTAATACAAATACAATATGATATCATACAGATAGCAAATTGAGTGTTTTAAAGCATTAAAGAAAGGGAAATACTAATCTCTTTATAAATAGTCTTATGAAACCACCAGCATACATTTTTTAGTATTTAAAGGTTAAAATAAAGGTAATTTTAAAAAAAATAATCTAAAAAATTTAATAAGCACCCGTTTCTATTTATTTCTTTGATTATTTCTTTGGCCTAATAACTTGCTTTGGGAGTAATGAAACAAAAAAAAAAAAAANTGCGATTTTTAAGGTTAATTAAAAAAAGGGGAAAATAATGTTATTTCTGATTGACCCAAGAGAGTATAGTGCGCAAAGAAAAAAAAAAGGTTATCACTTTAGATAACTTTCGTTCTAATGATCAGATTTTTACATACCAAGTGTCAATCGTAATGGCTCCTGATATGACTTCAAATATGAGGATTAATTATTGCTAACTATTAATTAAGTTACGAAATCAAACCTCCCTCAAAATAGGGGGATAGACGAAATTTTGAAAAGATTGGGTCATAAATTGGGAGGCTAAGAAGCTATAGTTCCAAAAAACAGCCAAGCAAAGTTACCGCTGCAAATGAATAATTTAAAACAGCCATAGAGCTATTAGTTAAGAGAGCTATTTCTAATTTTACTCCGTTGCTAGGCAATTAAGTTCAGACAATAAATAAAAAAATAAAATAATGTTCCTTGATTGCTCGGAGAGGTTTATTTATAAATAGTTAATAGAAAATATCGTGAAGTTTTTAAGCAATAGATTTTTGACCAAAAACCAAAGATTTTTTTTCTCTCGTTTGAATCTTGTTTGAAAAGAAAGTTTGAAACGATTTATACATTATTTATGATTTTCTAAGCTTTATACATGAATACATGAACTTTTTATCTGGCACTAATTGTGACGTTGTTTTTACTTTATTTATCCGAGAATTTTCTACTAAAATCAAATTTACATAACTTATTATAATTATCTGCAAAATTTATGAGATAATCATTTTTACAGCTTTGATCGAGTATTCTAGGCAAGAAAATTTAAAGAAAAAAAAATGCCTGAAAAAAAAATGTAGAGGTCATAGTAGTTCTAATGCACATTCACAAGTTTTTATACAATTTACGATATATCTTTTTTCTAGAACTGAAGAAATTGGTGAATATTAAGTGGCATTTTAAAAACATTTTATTTTTATTTTATAACCGTCGTTGAACAGCCGATCCAATTATTTAGGTCTACGACTACTAATGTTCAGCTTCGTAACCTTGTCATTTCGTACCAAATCTAGAAGACAAGGGAACTCCTGGATCAAGTTTGGGGAGAAATTTGCTTTCGTGGAGGACTTTTGATGGAACTAACCAGCATTTGCGTTACATGAAGAGGAGAATCACATAAACCTCCCACGGTTAGCCTGACGGCAAGGGGACTCTAACCCATGATCCGTCTATCACTGAGGCTATTTTTTGTCAGTACCGGGGTCAGTGCAAGCTGGATGCGGAATTCGTATCTACCAGCCACCGTTGGAATTCGAATCCAGTTCACCTCATTGGAAGGCGAATGCTCTATCCCCTGAGCCATCACAGCTCATTTTAAAAGCATTGGAATATACTATGTCTAAGAATAACATGTTGTTATAATATGTTGTATACTGCAGGATTCTTTCTCTTAAAAAAATCGCTTGATACGACCCGATATTTAGGTTACATGGTTTTCTTTAGAGAAAGATGATTTGTAAACAGCATCCTGATGTTTCGATACATTCTGAACCATAATTTTCACAAATTCGCCCTAAAATGTCGCTAAATATGTTCGTCATTTACGATCAGCTACATTTATCACCAAATATTGCTATATATCTGATACCATAGTCTCCTTTTAAACAGAGTTTGAACGTTCCTTTTAATGGCGGTACAAAAACTTAAAAGATAGAATGGTCCAAATATCTACAATCCGTGGTCATACAACTAGACGTACTCTAAGATTCTATGTAAAATCTTAATGATCAGGTGATATTCTA